GTATCCTGGGGTCAGTTTTGGGCCCCTCCCTCCCAGAAGGACCTTGAGGGGCTGGAGTGTGGCCAGAGAAGGGCAATGAAGCTGCTGGGGAAGGGTCTAGAGCCCAAGTGTGGGGAGGAGCAGCTGAGGGAGCTGGGGGTGCTGAGTCCCCACCCCTGGAGGGGTTTCCAAGCTGTGGAGATGTGGTGCTGAGGGACATGAGGACCCAAAAGGAGCACCTGGAGCCAAAGTCTTGCTTGCCCTTGGTGTTCTCTGTGGGGACAACAAGAGCTCCCAGCTGGGAGGACAGCCTGTGCTTACTGCAGGTGAGCTGGCTGGGAAGTTTAGCTGCCAGACCCTCAGTTTCCTCACTGAGCTTTTTCTAAGGGGCTTTCAGCTCGATGAGGTGTGCACAAGTGGTTCTGGAGGCAGTAGAAGACACATTTTGGGCTCAAAGCACAGCCTACAGCTGTATTTGCTCCAAAGCCTCGCAGTGGACAGGCTGCACTGGCAAAGTGAGGGGCTTGTGAGCCTCCCCTGATGCATTTAGTGACCTGTTCTGAACTGCTCTGCTGCAGACATGCAGAAAATGAGTATTTTGACCCACTCAGACCACAGAAAGTCAGTTTTGTAAGAGGAGGGCTTGTGCAGCTTTGCCTGAACTGCCTGTAATTTTAAGATAAACCCCTGCTAAAAGAGAAGTGTTATGTACCTGCTTCTGACCCCATCATCCTCAGCTGCTAGTCAAACAATCTTATCTGTAGGTTGGAAGTTAACTTTTTGCTTTTGTAGCTGGTTTTGAGGACAGGAAGGAGCTGGTTTGGTTTTAAGGTACAGAAGTTCTCAGCTTAATGATGAGGGATGAAACCTGTGGATTTTTTTTTTTAAACACTTCCATGTAGTCGTTTTTCTTGTAATTGTCTGTATGTGTAGCTAAAGTAGTAAGCAAATGGAGCCCAATTAAACAAAAAACCCAAACAAACCCTCCAAAAAACCCCTTGCAGGATTCCAGAGATTTGGGATGAAGTGTGATTTGCAGATTATTCCGAGGCAGCTCCTGGGACGTGCCCTTTAAACTGGAGTTAAACTGGCTCCTGTGCAAAGAATAAATCATCTGGAGCTCAAAAGGAAGCTTGAGTGGCTACAGCAACTACTCTGAACTTGACAAAATCCTTACTGTGCTTCTCTTGCCTTTCTCTTGCCACAGAGCTAAGGGAGGACACCTTATCACCCTGGATTTGCAGGAGGAGCTGCAGTGGCAGTGAGGGAGCAAGGGGCTGGCCTAGTTCTGGGTGGCTGTTTCTTGCCATTGTGCAGCAGAAATACAATCTGGTTCTGTTCCATCATTAGTCTGATAGAACCCCAGCGTGGTGGGGCTGGGAGGGACCTCTGGGATCTGCTCATCCAACCCCCCTGCTCCAGCAGCTCACCCACAGCAGGGTGCCCAGGGTCACATCCAGGCAGGTTTGGAATCTCTCCAGAGCAGGAGCCTCCACAACCTCTCTGGGCAGCTGCTCCAGGCTCAGACGCCCCCACACCAAAGAAGTTTCTCCGCCTGTTCAGATGGACCCTCCTGGGTTCCAGTTGGCGCCCGTTGCCCCTTGGCCGGTCGCGAGGCACCACGGACCAGAGTCTGGCCCCAGCCTCTTGCCCCCTGGGGGCCCTTTAGCTCTTGCTCAGCACTGAGCAGAGCCCCTCTGAGGCTTCTCTGCTCCAGCTGAACAGCCCCAGGGCTCTCAGCCTGTCCTGGCACAGAGATGCTCCAGCCCCTCAGCATCTCCACAGCCTCCTCTGGACTCTCTCCAGTAGCTCCTTGTCCCTCATGGACTGAGGAGCCCAGAACTGGACCCAGGACTCCAGAGGTAGAGACTCTGCCTCACCAGGGCAGAGTAGAGGAGAAGAACTTCTCTCAGCTTGCTGGCCACACTCTTCTTAATGCATCCCAGAAGACCATTGGTCTTCTTGGCCACTTGGACCCATTGCTGGCCCAAGGGCACCTTGTTATCCCCCAGCACTCCCAGGTCCTTCTCCTCAGAG